GCCGATTTCCTCAGCCATCAAACTATGAGCCATCAAACGACTGCCAACCTCAGGGTAACTCTTCATACCCCTCAGACCCATTTAACAGAGGGCTCAATCAAGCAAGATACGTTTTTGTGCAGTGTCTTGTCATAAAACGAACCACTGCAGCTAAGGGTTCTGCTTTTGCCTCTGGTTCATGTTCCCCAGCATGCATTATTGTTATGCTTGAGAGGCCGCTTTACTCCCGACTTTTCATGAATATGGCAATTTGTTTAATGGATGTACTCAAAGAAGCCGGGGTTCTGTCTCATATATATGGAACAGAGGAGAGAAAAAGAAAAGAAATGGCACATGCGGAGATTGAATTTAAACCTCAAATTTAGGAGTCCGCGTGAAAGTAAACCGGAAATGAATTGTAAGAAAAAATGAAAAATGTAGAAAATGACATGTTTCAAGGCAAAGCGGATGAGGAATATCCCCGTTTCGCAGAATTTCGCGCCTTTGTCCTATATAGTTCTCCCGTGACAGAAACAGAATGCTGCCGATTTGTTGTTGTTGACAATTGTCCTAATTAGTTTCTCTTTCATCATTTAATCAAAAATGTTTCGACAAGCTGGAAACGCTGTAAAATCAAGAAACAATTTAGAGTTTTTCCTCAATGTGTAACTGCATGCATGCGAGTCATTCAAATAAGACGGACGGATTTCGGAGATGACCTTAAAAACAGAAGAAAAATGTAGCAAATGACATTTTCAAGGCAAAGCGGATGAGAAATACTGTACAGCTAATATGTACAGAATATACTGTTGCTGTGGTGGAATATTTCGGTACCTTAACGTACCACTATACTTGCACACTGACTGCTGTTAGATGGCAGCCATATTAATTGATTATTAGATATTTTAATCTGTTCCCTTCAAGAGTTTTAACAAATAAGGTGTGCTGATAAAGGTGTGTGTTGCAATTGTGTGATTTTGAAGGTTATCTTCATCAATTGTGTTTTGTGAAGAAGTGTGTGCATTTCTTGGGGTTAAAATTGAAATACACTTCATCTTTTTCTTTTGGGATTTCATAAAATAAATCCCCAGATGCACCCCACAGCTGATTCTGTGCTTTATTTTCAAATGTTTGCCTCCTTTTGTGTGAACTTAACCCACAGTTGAGGCATATGTTCAGCAGAATTCTGCATCTCTGACCTAGTTTACTTGTGAGAGTAACTGAAAGCTGCCTCTATTTTTTCGGAAAATGGTCCCGTTTTTTTTCTCTTTCAATATCAAGCAAAACATTTATGGACCAGCTGGAAACGTTGTAAAATTAAGAACAAGTGAGAGTTATTCCGGAATGCGTAACTATGCATGCGAGTCATTTGAATAAGACGTGCAGATTTAGGACAAGCTTTTTATGAGTTCCTCACCTGTCGGAGATTTACCACATCGAAATTTTCTCTCTGTAAGGATTTTTTATTTATTTCAGATGTGCGTGTTAGTCTCACTAATTAAGCTGAAAGCGTAAAATGTTGATGATTTGAATAATTCAATTTTACCTTCTATTTGGCGCATCCCGAATGCATGAGTCGTTCTTGAGACTCCAAAGTTTACAAAGTGGTCAATTGTTTCTGCTTCACCCCCTGACGTATAAAATATGCAAATATTGATTAAATATTGCTGAATGCTTGTTTTTTTTTCCTTTACAGGTGTTGCTGGCTTAGTGTGGTACATGTTCTGGCTCTGGTTGTCCTTCGAGAAACCTGCAAAGCATCCGACAATCTCCGACCAGGTAAGAAGAAAATTCCATCCTTATTTCAAATAAATTTATATGCACGATACCATTGAAAACAAATTTTGGGTAAATTTTTCAGGAATTGTTTTACATACACGAATCGTTGGGAACGACGGCGTTGAAATTGCCGGAACCGACTTTTCGCACAACTCCGTGGAAGGCATTTTTCACTTCGATGCCGGTTTATGCAATTTTGGTGGCCAATTTCTGCCGATCCTGGACATTTTACTTGCTTCTCATTGACCAAGCCACATATTTGAAGGAAGTTTTCGACTACAACCTCAAAGAGGCGAGTACTGTATATAAATATACAGACTACGAGGCGTCAATCTTATAATAGCTGAACCTGATTAATCAAACTTTTTTTTTATAAACAGGGATATTTTTATATAAACGGGATACTGTAAAATCTCCAACTACTACAGATTTGATTCAAAAGTTTCGTCGGCATATTTTTGCATTGGGAAATTGAAATGACGTGCAAAAAATCGAATAAAAGCACTGAAAACCAGTCTAAACATTTTCTGATAGCGTTGCATTTTGTAGCTCAAACTTCGGGATATCTATCTCAAAAATGGACATTTGACTATAAATACTTTCAGTGAGATCAACATAAAAATCGTCATTTGGTATTGTTTCATTGGAACACGATGATAAGATCGAAGCCATTTTAAAAATAAATTTAAATACATTATTTTTTCCCGTTCATCCTGGGTGAGCACGAATTTTGACGAAAATGTGGTAATTAAGAACTGCCATTCTGCAGAAATTACGATTTATTCTCAGCAAGGAAAGCACCGGAATTACAAAATAACTGAAACTCTCTATATTGGTTTTCTCATGAGCGTAAAAAAAATGTTTGCAAATTTTCTTTGATGATGGGTTGAATGAACTCCAGCAACTTTTATGAGCGATAAGAATAATGTTCGCAGCTGAAAAGAAACCTAAACGTTGATCAACCAAACACTGTGACCTCGTTCGACCGCAAAACAGCGCAACCAAAATCGACCCGCCTATTCATTCAAGCTCCATGAATACAATTCCACCCAAAAAAATATTTATTTTTAAGGCGTGGGTAGCAATTAGTGGCACAGTTTGCGTTTTAGCTGGGCGTTTGTAGGGGTCCGTAGTGTTTTCCGTTTTCACTTACTGATATGTAAACTACCTTCGATATATATATATATTAAGGGCAGCATGACCAGGAAATGAAGAAAACGTTCATGACGGTGGAAAAGACCCGCACACGCCCCGTTTTCTTATTTTACTCTCTCTTTCAGCTATTCAAGTTGGGTAAAAAAAAAGACTTGCCTGACATGATGAAAAATTGACGCAACTCTTCAGCCACGTGTGCATTGATTCTGATGGCTAAATGTCGATTAACACGACACAAAATATGCTAAGGAATATTTAATGCTAATCATCATGAGTTCAAAGAAGGAAAATGAGGTTCCTCACGCTTGCCTCGCAGAGTATTATTCTTGTTAAAGAACCCTTTAAAAGTTTAAGCATTTACAGTATCAAAGTGCTTTTAATCAAGTGTGTTTTTAGAAGTTTTTAACGCTTGAGGTGCTTGTAAAATGCCTTTAGCGGAAATTATTGTTTGCGTCTATTTATAAGCCCCGATCAGTGCGGATAATCAACGATCAGTATTGTCAAGCATGAAGAAATGTTTCAATCGTGGACGCATCAACTGTAAAATTGCATCACGAAAGAAGGAAACATTAATGGAAGTGATAATTTATCTTTTAGAGATTTATTTCTCTTTTGGACATGAACTGGAATTATAAAAAATATGTAGCGATTTTCTTAAAATCCCGGCATCTTTTTTTCAGGGATAAGTTAAAAATTATTTAATTTCTACACCTGAAATTTGAAATGAAGTTAGAGAGAAATACAGAAATACACCACAGAAAATCAAGATACAGTGAGACCCCAAGATGCAGATGTAATTGGTGCATGAAGAGTGTCCCGAAGTCAAAATGTCTCCAAGTCAAGTCACATTATCCCTTAGACTTATATTATATAATTTTTATTTGGTGTTTTATGAACAAAATACTCACCATAATTCCATGAAAATAAAAGTTGTCTCCCAATTTAAACTGATTCCAATCAATATATTTCAACACAATATGGACATTTGGGGAATTGAATACTGAAAAAGCGAGAAGGAAGTCCCTCTCTGCTGGTTATTTCAACACAATATGGACATTTGGGGAATTGAATACTGAAAAAGAGAGAAGGAAGTCCCTCTCTGCTGGAGGTAATTTTTAAAAATTAGCTAATGGATGGTAAATTGCTTAGAGAAATGCTCAAGAACTTTTCTTACATCAATTTTAGGGTTGGAAGTGTCTGTTTCTTGAAATTTGACCTGAAATGTATTTGCAATTTTATAACAAAATGTCCCTATGGCAAGTCAGTGTCCTCATGTTGGGCATTTTTTTATTAATTTTTGATGGGAAAAATAAGTGTCCCTATGTCAAATTGTCTGCAGGTTGAGGTGTCTGCATGTGGGGTTCTCACTGTATTTCTTATACAGTACTGTATATAGAGATATACGTATACAGTCGGCATATTTTGTAAAACATCCTGAATTTTTCGAATTGACGCGACGTAAGATTTGAGGGAATTTTTTTTTCTTCTTGAAACACCACAGATTGGTTGGCTGTCAGCACTGCCGCATTTGGTGATGACCATGATTGTTCCAATGGGAGGAATTTTGGCAGATCACCTGAGAAAGAATGGGATTATGTCGACCACGAATGTCAGAAAGGTTTTCAACTGCGGAGGTTTTGGATTGGAAGCCATATTCCTGCTTTTCACTGCTTACGCAACGACCAGCAAACAGGCCATGACTTCGCTCGTTTTCGCAGTTGGTTTCAGTGGATTTGCAATTTCTGGTGCGTAATTTTCTTTGCAACAAAGAATACAATTTTTATCCGATTTTTTTCTCTCTTGATTTGACCAGGTTTTAACGTGAATCACCTGGACATTGCACCGCGTTACGCCAGCATCCTTATGGGATTGTCCAACGGCTTCGGAACGCTTTCTGGAATGATTTGCCCGAAAGTCGTGGAAAGTTTGACTGAGAACGAGGTAAATTAAATTCCAAATGTTACAAAAGAAGGGGGGGGGG